ACACTACATCAATTATCACTATTGCAATTGTAAAATCAATATTAATCATTTTTAAAAAATTTTTATATCAGATTAAATATTTTAATAAAAGATATAATTAATAATTTTTTCAAAAGCACGGAGCACAACAACTTATTGACACTAATCACAATAGTGTTGCCGATTTTATTTATTTTTATATTATTTAATTTATTTTATACTTGAAGTGAAAAGATATTCCTAATCAAATTGATGTATCTACGCCGATTCTAACACATTTTTTATATTTTCTTACTACTTGGTGTATTTTATAGGACTTGAGCGGTAATAATTATTGTCCTTTCGAACAGGCAATGAAAATATTTGTTTTTAAACAGCATCATAAAACGTTCTATCTGCTCAAAAATGTAAACACACAGCGAGCGATTAAAAATACGATCTTCTTGCATAATCTCATTTTGCGTTCTCAAAAAAAAAAACGAACGTTCGCGAAAAATCGAAACGACGACGCTTGCAGCGACTTTATATCGTTCGTGAGTATTTGGTTTATTGCTTATGCTCGTGAGAGATTGTAAATGCATGTGCGCTCTTTGCAACTTTATAGAATTGAATAGTTGTGAGAAAGAGCGTATTTTAATTGTCTCCGCACCTGTTTTTTACGATTAAGTATACTGAATATGTAATATAAAAACAAGTTATAAACAATTTTAATTTGCTCATTTCAACGGAAACTCCAATAAACTCTATATCAAGAAAATTACCGGTGTATTTGACATTAACGCGATTTTTTATAAACATTTGATGCTTCAAATGTAGAATTTCACTATTTAATATAAATGTTTTTAGCTAAGTCTCAGATAACACTAATAATTATAAAGAACCCCAATGCTCTCAGTATATAAACGGGTTAAATTTGTGTTAAGCTCCCCTACATTCTAATAATAAATAGAGAATTATTTAGTTTTTTTTTTTTTTTTTTGGCCATGAATCTGATCTTACAGGCAGATGTGCTAAATTGTCGGATCTCTCCAGAAATTAAGGCCATATCAGTCCAATTTTTTTTTAATTTGGAAAAACATTTTTTTGTTCTACAACTTTGAAAAAAGATCTACTTTCAGAAAATGCTTCGAAGCTTATAGCACCTCAAAAAGTAATCTCCCTCGATATCTGTTTTTATATAATAATTTATATCATCAGCCGTTGTTTCAGGTGCAAACGTGGACGCAAATACCATCTTCATGACAGGAGTCATAGATAATGGGTTTTGTACAGGTTGGGATTTACAAGTATGGGGGAAAAACGCTAGATGTGGGAAGTGGAGTTTTTTCAGAAACCACACTATCATTATTCAGAACCTCAGTATTCATTGCCACTTTCCTAACATCCCCATTAATTACCGGGCCTAGGTGTGTCACAACACTGGCAAAGTTCAATGTTCACCCATGGTCTCGGTTGTATCAGATATATTATCAGAAACCGGTTGTGATACAATGTTTCCCGTAGAAACTATAGCGTTGCGACTAGGCTTTCCCATAGATAGCTCTTGCGTTTCTGACCGGAAACATACGGCGACAATACAAATTCATCTAGTTCTTGGTATTTCTCATATAATGCACAGAAGTTCTCAAATCGAGATGATAAAGAGCAAAATTCTTTCTTCATTGATGCCATCTCCGATTGCAAATCCTTAACAAAATTGTAAGAGTCCGCAGAGAGTTTTCTACAATGAACGCAACACCATTGAACGCCAACATTATTTCTAATAGTATCAACGACTTTCGCATTGATACGAGCACACTTAAAATTCAATTGATTAAGACGGAACCAACATGTAACACATAATTCATCATCAATTAAGTCGGGACGTTTTTGCAGGTCAGAAGTCCAGTAAGTAGGCCAGCCGGTAGATATCACATCCAGTTTAGCGAATGAAATGGAATTTTAAAATTGTCTACCTATGGGTGTAATAAGTCTAGATCCTCGGAAAGTGTGCTTAGCATTATAATCTACTACCATATATATCTACTACCAAGAGATGAGAAGAAATGTGTGAATTCAACTTTGCTTGGAGGACAATATATTGCAGATATAACTATATTCGTTGAAGATAGTGCAAATGCTATAGCTTGTAGGTTGTCATGCTTATATTCTGGCATGGGGTAATGTTGAATTTTATTATCACCGCAGTGCCACCGCGTAACCTGTAACCGTTTATTCTAATAAAGTTTCTACAGTAAAAAGAGTTTCAGATACCAGTAAAATCACGTGTTTATGTTGACTTAAGCCGTTTGCGTTCCAAAAAACAGATTGTAATTTTATTTTCTATTCTATTCTATTCTATTTTTATGGTTGTGCGAGTCATTTCTCAAATTGTCAGAATATACAGGCATGTCACAGAATGTAAAATCGTTCAAGAGTGAAAACGAAAACGGTTTTAGCTTCTCTAAAAAACGGAAAACGCAAAAATTTTGCGTTTTGATATCACTTTCAAAAAGCAGGGTGAAATTGAAATGTTTAGTGATTTTAACGTAAAAAATAAACAGAAGACACATACATTTAACAGAAAATATTGTATTAACCAAATTCTCTTAGAATGAACATGTTTTTGGAATTTATTTTACAAAAAATCTATTATTTTTCTAATCCATGATGAAAAATAATAAAAAGGACTTGCGAGGAACTGGTGGTGGTGATATCAATCAATATGTTTTCAGTGAACACGAGAACAGTTTAATCAGAATTTGCGGATTGTATAAAAGTGTCGATGGAGTTGGTGGTGCAGTCAGCTTTGCGGATTTTGTAAGTGAATTAGACCTCAGTTGTTCAGAAAAAGAAAACTTTGATTCGTCATCATCTACACATATTCCAAGAACTCGAAAATCAAGTCAATTAGTTTTAAGTGAATCTGAAAACGAAGAGCTTAATTTATCACCCTCAAATTCAAAGCAGACCAGTTCGATTTTAAATAAAAAAGATAGACCTAGATCATGCATTCCAGCTGCTTTTAAAAATGTTTCTACATTGGCAATTGATCCAAGAACAACAACATTGGAAGAAAACCGTTCGCGAACACCTGTTCAAAAACGACTTAGAAATAAAAGCTTATCGTTTCTCCGCCATCTACACCAATAAGACAAGTGTCGGGCAGCCTAACAAAAGCAAAACCCACGCCTGCAGTAAAAAGACCCCGGTCAAGAACTCCCCCAAAGCAAGATCTAAATGCGCTTTTAGTTGAGGAAAATTCTCATTTACAAAACTTGGAAAAAATTTGTAAAATTCTAGAAGATAACAGTAAGGAAATGAAAAAACAAACTGAAAAGTTGGACAGACTTTGTAACATCCTGGAAAAAAAGTATGTGGAAGAGCAGTTACATAATATTGAAATGCAAAAGAGAATGCGTGAACGGAACGAAATGAAACTCAAAATAGTTGAACTTGAACTCTTAAATATGCTGTAGAACAGGAAAAAGCAAATACGACTCGTTCTTAACTTTACATTATTTTACACAATGGACTAAAAATGGTGAATCCTTACTCTGCATTTGAGTGAGATAAAGGATCTGATGCGTTCCTCAATGTCCGGCGACGAATTTTTTCAGTAGACCGCTGATTTATTTCTTCATCCATTACAGCAAGTATTGAAGCCCCTGGCATTTTTACTTTTGGTGTTTATATTATAAAAACAATTTAAACTGCGTTTTTAATTGTCAATAATTTGTTTACGACTTGTTTTTTTCATGGAGTTACCATATTTTTATTTCAAAAATGTGAAATGATTTTTTTTTCCGGATTAGTCAAAACGTACGAGTGCTGAAGAAGCAAAAGCAAATCGTAACGATTTGGAAAAGGTGAAATAAATCGATTTCGTAAAACTTCTGTGACATGCCTGATAAGTACACCTAAGTCTGTTTTTACACGGTAGATTGGTTCCAGAAGAAGCCGTGTAAAAAAGACATTGATTTTATGGGTGATTTGTTCCTAATGGGTGATTTGTTCCTAATTTCTAAAACCTATTAAAATTAGTGAAAAACAAGAATTTTTAAGAACAAGAATTCATGTCTATTTTATTAAATCAAATATATAATGCTTGTGCTATTCACATTTGCTTTGACCAGTAAAAAATGTTTGTACGCGCTAAAGGGGAATTTACTTAAAATCTTAACTAGTGTTCGCAAACTATTGATACTATCGATGGTTTCAGACTTTTTTCTTTCATAAATACTTCTTTGTGATATGAACATACTTCGCAAAAATTAAATTTGACAAAAAAAATTTAAGTACATAAAATTTCAAATCGTGCTAAATGGAATAAAATCGTGTAAAAAATTTAAAAATATTCAATTTTCAAACCGTGTTATATCAAAACCGTGTACAAAAAGACCATGTAAAAACAGACTTAGGTGTATTGCATATTCTGAGAAGAGAAATTGTAATTGGGAGCGGTGGTTTCTTTTCTCTTTTTTAGCTCAGGGAAATTATCCGTTTTGTTATTAAATTGTGGGTTTTCTCGTACTCAACTAAGCGAGATTTTTTTATGTGGATATATACCTGTACATTCAAAGATAGCCTCATCTCCGCAGTCCATGTGGTGAAAAGTGAGGCCGTCAATTTAGCGGCGGATATCTTAATATTTCTCGCAGTGAAAAATACAGTTAAATTAACTGGGTCCGGACGCCACGAGTGTACAATAACCTGCGTACGTTATTATTTCTATGCCGTCTGGAGGGCGTGGAATAACAGAAAAGTAGTCATTAAACAGTTCCGGAGATAACACCCCACCTTGGGGAATTACCTGTTTTACTTTACGGATGTTCGACTTCTTGTTTCTGAATTCCACGGACTACTGACGACCACATGTGTGAACTATCCAACGTTTCAAACTTGGCGGTGCGCCCAATGTCCTTAAACAGCATCCTTGTCTGGCTTCAGTAGCGGAATTTATAATGACATTTCTTTCTTTCTGTGGATTCATCATGACATTTCTTTTCATTTAATAACATCTTTTTAATGTCTTCTTTCAGGAGTTTGTAGAAAAATGTTTAAAACCAACGTGGGACTGGATGTTTTCTGTTATGGATAGTACCGAAGCGCAACTTAAATTTGGCGCATATCTAACAAACTACACGGATCCAGCACATCCACTTCATCCCTTAAATTTAAGTGCTCAAAACAATTCGAATCAAAACAACAGCCAGTCTAACAGTGCCGGTGCTGTTGGAATGAATATATTGGGTATGTTGATAACCAGTATCAATTAAATTTATATTGTATTGAACATGTCTTGTCTGTTCTTTTCATGTTCTAGCATCGACGTCCCGAAGGGACTTTTTCACGTATTGTCTTTCACTTATGCGAGCTCATACATCTGAACATCGCGATGCCTTGCCTGTTCTCGATATAGCAGCTTTACGTCATATTGCGTATGTGCTAGATGGATTTATTTATTATATGCGCAATGATACGAGCTTTTACGAAAAAAGTGAAGGTATTGTGAGCAATACACTTAATACAAATGAGAATGATGATACGGATGACGAATTGTCGAATATAACGAGCGACGAACAGTATGGGGATATCGGAATGGGATCTGCTTCGAATGTAATAGGATGTGGACCATTTCGTCGTCATACGTTCTTTACACGTTCTGACTCGACGCTAAGTCTGGGATGCTTAGCTCCAGATGGTTTCGATTTACCTCTTGACGTAGCCATACCCTTGGCAGACAAGCCTCATCTTTTACAACCCAACTCCAAACGTCAAGATTTGTTTGCCAACTTACCTTTAATCGTATCTCCAAATGAGGGCAATACAGTGCCCCACGCTGAAAAAGGCAATTATAATATACTTGATCACCCACCAACTAAATTAGGATTTTCGTCATACTCAATGGTGAAGTCAACGGTCGATCAATCATCTATTTCAAATGATAAACCATACTCTGCTGCCGACGATGTGAACGTTTACGAGCCAGAAGAGAACCTTAATGTTTGTTCTAATTCGAAATCATCCAGTCTTCGAACCGTTACGGACATTACAGATGAAACGGAGCTAGTTAGTGCTGGCGGTAATATTGGAAATGTATATCTGCAACTCAAGAAAAAAAAATACTCTGAAGATTCTAAATCAACAGACATAGATAAAAGCGAAAATGTTGAGCGAATGGAAGTGGATAACATTGCTGGCGAAAACATAGACAGAAATGTGGATGTTCATAATACAAATCCAGCTCGTGTCATGGCCACAAGACCAGATGTTATAATAGTTCCGAACAAAAATCAGCGAATTTTAGAAAGTGAAGCAAGCATGACGTCTAAAATATCGAATTCTCCATCGTCGTCCATTGTTCGCAGCGTCATCGTTAGAGCGGGTGGTGTGTCTGGGCAAATTAACGAAGAACCCTCTACATCGCAGAAAGCTAATACTACATACATTGCCCCAAATGACGCAATAAAAAATACTGGTATGCGATCTGCTAAAATAACATCACTAGTGTATCCCGCACGTGGCCAATACTTCTGTCAGAAATGCGAAGCACTTGATTCATCTCCATCTTGGAACTTCTTGCTTGGTCGATGGAAACTTGCATTAGATTTATTTGGAAGAGTATTTATGGATGATGTCGGTATGGAGCATGGATCGGTTTTGCCAGAGCTACGGGGATTTCCAGTTAAGGAAATGCGTTTTAGAAGACATATGGAAAAGTTGCGAAATGCTCAACAGCGTGATTTAATACTTTGCAAATTGGAACGGAATCGTGACAGTTTAATAATGCAAACATTTAAAGAACTGAATTCTCAATTTGGAAGCCAAAATAGACGAGTTCATCCACCTCTTACGTTTAATCGAGTTAAAGTTACATTTAAAGATGAACCAGGAGAAGGCTCTGGTGTAGCTCGTAGCTTCTACACGTCTATTTCTGAAGCCCTTCTTGCCAGTTCAAAAATGCCAAATTTAGAATCAGTTCAAGTGGGAAACAACAGTGGAAAATATGGCTTGCCGATTCCCAGCATACTTAGGAACAGGGGTGCTCCAGGTCGCGAACCACCCACTTTACAGAGACGAGGTACGGGTAGCAAAATATTGTGGCGTACAGCCCGTGAAAGAAAAGCTCTAAATTTTTATGCAAGGCCATATGTAACAATTTTAGACAACCCAGGTAAAAAGTCTGATATTGTTTAGTTTCCTATCTGCAATTCTCTTTATTTGATTTTTAGATCTTACTGGCGAAAATCCTAACGATCATTTATCTGTACAACTGCAACAATTAGGAGAAAGGCTGTATCCGAAGGTAGTAGTTTTTACATTATAACAATTTTATTATTGTACACTATGGTCGTTTTTTTTTTGGTTTTAACGAATGTAGATATACTCACTGAATTCCACACATGCTTCAAAAATAACTGGAATGCTTTTAGAAATACCAACACCACAACTTCTATCAATTTTATCATCTGAAGAGATGATTCGGCAAAAAGTAACCGAAGCCTTGGACATAATAACATTCAAGCAAAAATCGGACTCAAGCGCATCCTCATCTGGCCATTCGAAAAAAATGAACCCTGTAGTTTTATTGGAGCCTTGTCATGTAGAAGACAATGATCCTCTGTTCTATATGCCAGGAAAACGAGGCTTTTATACACCTCGTCAAGGCTATGGATCATTTGAACGAATCAATGCCTTTAGAAACATAGGAAGGTAACAAACCTCGAATAATTATCATTTGTGAATTCTAACTTTTAACGATATATTTCAGATTAATTGGTCTGTGTTTATTGCAAAATGAATTATTACCCTTATTCTTGCAAAGACATGTCTTAAAATATATTCTCGGTCGGAAAATTAAATTTCATGATCTAGCTTTCTTCGATCCAGTAATTTACGAATCATTTAGACAGCTAATACAAAACTCACAAACCGAAGAGGGAGAAGAAGTCATATCTCGAATGGAGTTGTATTTTGTGTAAGTGTACAAAGCTTTTTTAAAAGAAAACAAGTTAAACAGTATCAATCGGTTTTGTTGACTTTAGATTATTTAAATATATTTTGACATGTGTGATGATTATGCTCGCGGGAGGCTCCACAGGAGTGGATCTATATTGTGCATTTCGTATCTGACATAAGTCTGATGCAAATATTACAACTTTTTCGCAACTTATGAGAGATACAAGTACTGAGTGGAATGATATATCCCGTCTTCACAGCGGATCTTGTGTTAGTAGAAATATTGGGATGTGTGAATTGTGTAGAGAAGCTTGTGCTTATTACGCTTTTTATGAGTGATTTGATATTCAAAATTTTGTACTAGAAGGAGTAGAGTAGGACATTTATAATTTTTAATAATTTAAAAAAAAAAAATCAACCCAGTTTCATAAAAATATTGTACTAAAAGACTTACCGTAGTGTTAGAATATTTTTGTACGGAGCTTTGAAGAAATATTAACAAGTTAAAATGTTTGTTCGTTTGATTGCTTCTTTGTTTGAACATATTTTCTTCAAAAATATCTAGATATGTTATAGAATCGCTTGAAAGTTACATAGGCTATATACATTTTTTAAATTCCACTTGGAACTGGAGATAAAGCATACAAATCGAAGGTACCTCCAAAAATTGTAGATTTTGTATGGACATATCTATTGATAGGTTTTAGATATAGTCTTTAAATTTGAATGTTTAACAGAATTTTGTACAAAAATAAATTTATTTAAGATTTCGGCCGATTTGATGTATTTCATGCAGTGTGATTGCAGTTCCCTGTACATTTGGCATTTCCTAAGACAATTAATAAATCCCAACGACCAACTCTTCGTGTACACGGATTTAATTTAGCACGTTTTTATTTTACATTTTTTACCTTACAATAAACACGTTTTTTTAATTTTTGATTTTTTTTCCACAAAATATTTGTATATAATGTTTTCAATATATATAAAAGCGAAAGGAGTAGCAAAGTGCGCCGGTTTCAGCTAGTTCTTTATATAATATCCCTCAACTATTTTCGAAATGCACGACTATTTATTGGCATTTTACTTTCCACAACATCAGTGTGTTTTTTAAGTATTTGGTGTAAGTAAAGCAAACATTTTAATTTAACCACATTTCACATTTTGTGCATTTCGAAATAAGGATTTCATACATACTTTAATTCATATTATCATCGATTCTCAATGAAAGAATGCAATTTAAATACATCTCATGATAATTTAACTTCAATTCTATAATGCTATACACTAAGAAATAGATTCGTAGGTAAGTGGTTGACCACAATATGTTGAAAAGAGGGAGGCCATGTCTAGTATTGTATGTATTCAGGAGTGCTACAATCATTTTTAAATAAATGGCCTCTAGTGTATTAATCTTAATATTTGTTCATTATTTATATTTGCTGGTGATGTACTGCTGCTATTTATTCTGAAACAAATGCACAGATTATATATAAAGGACAATGTACATATGCTTGAGTGATATTCTGAAATGTTACAATAACTCTTAATAAATCATTGAAAATAATAAAAAAAAAAAAAAGAAACTATTAAAGACTACTTCAAAGATAAAAGTTCTTTTGAAGAAATTCTGCACTTTAAAACGCGTAGACAATATAGAAAAACCTTCTCAATTTATCGTTTTTCGAGAGATATATTTTCTTCACAACAACATCTGCGATTCAGAACCATGTCAGAGTAACAAGAGATAATTATTATGTTACTCGGTTACCAGATTGACACAGTATATATTACCATGCTTAGCAGGTTATATTAATTCCATATAAAGAGGTTGTATAAGAATATTATTATTTTGGAAGTCGAACATAAAATTCTCAGAAAATAATGCAAAAACATTCTAAAGGGATATTATCTAGAATGTGGTTTTCCCTTTCACAATATTAGGTTTTAACTAGCAAAATTTGACATCACACATTGCTCTACCACTTCCGGATAATACATATTTTCTTCAATTTAACTGCAGTGGTTTTCGAGGTAATATCAACGACATAGTCTAGATCGCTACGATCTAGGTGACGAAGCTCAGCAACTACTGTTATCTTCGAAGTTGTGATGAAGGATGTTTAGAATTCCTATTGCACCACTCTTTCTAGTCCAACATCAGTTCACACTTAGAAGGCGATAACAAGGGGATTTTAATGCATTATGGCATTCCGTCCTAGATAATGACCAGAGGGGCATAGCGCTGACTGAGCAGATTGATAACTGTCACAAGATCAACGGACATATCCTAGCAATCTTAGGCTCAGACCACCTTCCATTATTATCACCATAAAAAGAGCAGCAGACCTCATAAATTCTGAAACCCGCACCCGGACCCATTTTATACTTTCCAACTTGAAAAGGAGGGTATATTAACTTTGTCATTCCGTTTCTAAATCCCTAAATATTCGTCGTAGACCCCATATATTCATGTTCAGCATAAAATTCTAAGCCGATTTAATGATGTTTGTTTGCCTACCTGCCTGTTTTCTGATTTTCAGCTGTATTCAGCTGCGTAAAACTACAGAAATACAGCCTTGAGGCTATGCCCTCTTCCTGTCAGAATTATTCAAAATTTTATTCAACAAATTGTTTTCATTTATTTGATATTTTTTGTTCATTTTTAAATGCCTGGATGTTATCTCAAAAATACGATCCTAAGTGTTCAATCTTTCAATTCTTTGGGAAATCATGTTAATATCATTAATGCGCGTCCTGCAATTTAAATTTCTTCCAGTCATTGTTTTTGAAAATATTTTGTTTTTATTTTTAAAAACAATAAATACATACACAAAATGGGCAGAAGTCGGGCACACTAAGAAAACAATTGTAATCAGGTGGTAGCTCTACAAAAGACATAGAAGTATAAAGATAGGATAATGGGTTATAGCCCGGTGGGAGAACGTTGAATATTTAGATCCACGTTTTCCTATAGTGCATATATAACGATACCCACCGATATTCGGTATTTTGATAATCCTAGTCACATTTACCCACGAAATTGTTTCAAATTTGGTATTTAAGAAGATTTGGTAGATGACAATCCTTGAAGAATGAAATTGTCTATAGAGGTTCACGTTTTAGTATAGTCATGATAACGGCCTAACCCATGTTATGGTTTGTTGAAAAGCTTAACAGCATTATGTAATCGGTCTTTCTGGTATTTGTAGTTTTCAGTGGAATAAGTTTGAATTCAGATATTTTTAAATATTTTTTTCTTTACCCAATGGTGGACGGTATTAAAAAGTTCGGCCCTCTTTTTTACTTGCTAACATCTCTGATCGGGTGAACAATTTTTAAATTAATTATAACGTTTTTTTTCGATGCGAAAACGGCAGTCACCCTTTTCACCACGTGCACCGAGATATGAGACGGATTGTGAAATTACCCCAAGGTCTTAGGTGTCACATTCGTAGTATCTTTCCGGCAGTACTTGGCTATTTGATAAGGAAGTCTTGTTGACTTCTTAAAATGCGATAGGATGATCGGTGATAAACTGTGCGGCTACGATGTTGGAGCTACGCAATGGAATGCTTGGATTTACAAACAGCCATCCCCTTCACCATGTGAACTGCAACCTCCGCCCAACTATGTAAGAAAAGACCTTTATGATCTAGAGAAAGAGTAACATAGGCAGGGTTTCAAATGCTAACACAAATTTAATTTTAATAATTTATTTTAGGTATGTTACAACAGATTGAGTATTTACTAATTTGCAATTATAGGCATTTTGCATATACATATTTAAATTATTGCGAGTAAAAGAGCAGCATAATGACCCTAACTATCGTTAAGTTAATGGGTATGTGAGAGCATTCACACACTAAACTTCGTTAAGCAAGGTGAAGCATTAAAATTGAGTAGAAGAGAATCATAGTTATATTGCACATCACACATCAATTCTTATTTCTCAAACGTAAAGACCTTCTCAATACTGTCGGTTGCGAATCACGATCGTTTTGTTGATGACCATGGTGCTACTGTTGCTGATGACGTTGTTGTTGTCGTAGCGGCTCATACATCTGTGTTCGTTCGGTTTCCATTTTCTGACTCAATTCAATCTGGTGCTGCCTCTAAATCCAGTCTCAAAAAGGATGCAACCTGTATCGGCTGTGTCCATAGCGAGACTGAAGTTAGGTGAGTAGGCTTGGCTGGACAGCGTAAGTGCAGAGTGTCATGTGGGCCTGTGCCACAAGCTGGACAGATGTTCTGCACGTCGCCGTTAATCCGGGCCCAGTAGGAATTTAGGCGGCTGCACCATCCGGATCGTAATTGAGCCAAAACTACTCGGGCCAGCCATCGTTCTTCAGCTGCGACGGGGAACGGGGATGGTCTCCTAGCACAGTATTAACTCTATATCCTTCAATGGCTTCTGACACCGCATTAGAGTGAATATTATTCAGTCCTGCTTGATAGGCCTGATAATCTTTCCTATACCTCTGCACCTTTATCTCTAGATCATGAAGGTCTTTCCTAACGTGCCTGTGAGGAGGTTGCCTATCCACAAGACGGTGATTCGGATGGCTTTGTCTTAACACCCAAACAGGTATTGCATTGACAGCATTTTATTATGCTGTCGCACCGGTAAGACCTTCGCCTCCTCATGTAGGTGAACGACAGGTGTCATGAGGAGGCATCCTGTTTCGGTTATAAGGGCGGCATTCTGGCAGGACTGAATATTTGCCCACACGTTGGCGGACCAAACCGAAGTCGCATAGTTTACCACAGACCGCCCTATCGCGTTGTAAGAGGTCAACAAGGTTTCCTTATCAACTTCCCAAGTACTGTCGGCCAGGGACTTGTTCACCTTGTTCCTACTTCTAATCTTGTCGCAGATAGCTGTGGTATGCGAGGCTAAAGAGGCTATCGAATGTGACACCTAAGACCTTGGGGTAGTTGGTGGTCGGAATTACAGCACCATCGACCAGTACATTCAAAGATAGCCCATTCTCCGCAGTCCATGTGGTGAAAAGTGTG